CGCTCCTCTGGCGAGATTCTAACAACTTTTCTCTTACCATAATGGGCTGATTACAGGAAAGTGACTTCATTATGCCGCAGCCAATATGCAAGGATGTGTGTTGTTCAAATGAACACTGTATTCCTCAAATATGTCATTAGGGAGGAATAAATTTCAAAAATTCTGAGATACTTCAGTGTTGTAATTTGTCTGTTCCCTTTAGCTCTCTCCCTTCCATTTCAAACACTCTCTCACGGTGAAAACCTTTCAGATCGGAGCTGGGATCGAATGGGTTGAGATGAGGAACCGGCTTCAGGTAAGAAGATCCTGAGCATCAGCTGGGTAGCGGTACGGCCTCCCAGGTGCCTTCTCTTTGTGAGAGCAGCGTTTACTTGGACTTAAGACTCTTAAAAAATTTCATCTCTTAGATTCGCCACACAACCAACCCCACACCACACAAAAGGGAGGGAACCTGCTACCAGGGCCAGTCTCTGAAAGCAGCATTTTTGTTGTTGTTGTTGTTGTTGTTGATGAACACCTTGAAATGCTCCACCTCCAACCACCACCCAACTCCGGGGCACAGCTGTGGCACATCTCGACCCAGCTGGAGAAGTCCAGGTCACATGCATGTACTGAGCTTTGGCCAAATATTTAACTGTGAACTAGATTTTAAGTGTTGGGGAATTCAGAGAATTCATAAAAGAACTCACTAAATCCTCACACCCTTAGACTTATTAGCTAAGCATGTTATTTAGCAGAAATGTCGCTGTACCCAAATTATGATTATACTCCTACAGAATGTAAAAACTGCATAAAGTTATTTTACAAACAATATTTTACTGAACAATTTTGCAGCCTGTTGAAACTAAATGCCTGGACCTAAGAAGGTCACTTTCTGTTTGAATAATTGCCATTCCAGCCTATCCACAAAAACGCCTAAGGAGAAACTGAAGGAAAAGTTGACCAGCCCCCCACCCATCAGTGGTAACGAATTTCAAGCGTTAAAGATGGAGATACAGTAAGTCTGCTTCTTTTAGTTTTTCCCCAGTAACGAGGAACTTTACTTTCCTATAGATCCCAAAGAAGAAACAATGAGGCTGCCACTGACATAGAAAACAAGAGAGAAGACAAGATGGGGGACAGGGAGCATGCAGTTCACATCCGATGTTGGTTGGAGCCTTCAGAGATAAATTTCCAGTTAATTTCCTACATGGTTCTTTCCAATATTTTAAATAAAAAACTATAAAACACACACAGGCAAATTTGGTTGTAGAGCGTCTATCCTAATGGAATTTTGGAAGCCGGGCCGATTGGAGTTTTGTTCTCATTTTTAGCACTCCGATTCGAGAAATCGGAGACTATCACGTCCCTGTTCCCACTCCCCTTTGCAAACGCCCACACATCATTTCCTCTGGGAAGCCATCTTTGAAGACGCGTCCCTCAGTGCACATCATGGGAACCGCTCCATGCGGCTGGGATCTTAGCTCCTGTTACAGCACTCGCAACGCGCACTGCGACTACCTGGTTGCCTGTCACCCCTCTCCCCCAACCCCTGCCAGACGTGGGGTCACCAAAGGCCGGGAACACGTATTATCGGTGCTGAGCCCTGGGCCTGACGCACAGCGGGGCTAAGGCGATACTTCGGAATGAACAAATGGACAAAAAGAAAATGAAATTCATCTTTCTTTCATGTCATAGGGTAAATGCTCATTTTTGTGTTATTTTGAGGTCATACTTCCAAAGAGTCTCTAAGTCATGCTGTGTCGCTATGACTGTAAGGTGATGTGCTCTGGGCTTTGTCCTAATTTACTGGCAGTCAGAGGGTGGGAGAGCCCCCTGAGCAGAGCATGGGGCAGAGAGGGACAGGCAGCGTGTGGCCTGGAGCTTGTCCCACAGTGCCGAATCCATGCAGGAAATGCCATGCTGGACATCTGAGGGCACAAGCACAGTCCTACCCCATTCTTCTTGGCCTGGGATTCTGAATAGTAAGTAGCAGCTTTTTCCTTTAAAGCAGAAAAACTGTCTTCTCCTCACAGGAAGGCAGGGGTCCCAGCTGAGGATAGAGAGGGCAGGGGCAGGACTCTCCCTCAGGGAGACACCTGCTACGAGGCCAGAGGGGCTGCTATCTATCATCAGCTTCTCCTTTTGAGACCGGAAAGTGTGAGGCTAGCAGGTGACAAGTGCTCAAGAATATTCTCTCTAACCGTTCCTGCAACGGTCACCTCAATACCTAGCGCACGAGATATCCACGTGAGGAGTATAATCTGTAAAATGGGAATCGACATTAAACTTAACACCATTCTTGTCTCTTCCCACTGGGCTGAGTTAAGTGTAATAAAAGCCCAACGATACACTCCACTAGATGTTACTTTAAATCTTGCTGCAGGTTAAAGTTGCATTCCTTATATTCCCACTGATTTGTAGCACAGAGCCCTTGACCAAACAGAAAAGCTTCCCACGAATTATCTTTGACCTGCTAACAGCTGGGGTGCAACCAGGCACTGTAAACCAGACTGCCAGGACAATCTGGACAGCGGCATTCAACAAGGGTCCTGGGCGCCGTGCTGCAAGCCACAGTCTCGGTGGATCTGGAACTCTCTAGAGGCCGTGACCCCCTGCAGGCAGCAGCCAGTCAGGAACACTCATACCTGACTCCTGCGACTCAGGCAGAGAGGCTCTGGCGCCAGGGGATCTGAGTTCAACTCAGCCCCTGTGAGCCTGGGCCCATTACACACTTGGTCCCCTAAACCTCACTTTCTGCATGTGCCAAAGGGGGACAAATTATGCCAACTTTGTGGGGCTGTTGGAAAAAGTGCTTTATATACTGTACTTGCCACACTGTAAATGCTTGATAAATGACAGCTCTTACTATAGTGTTTTGCCACTTTTCTTGCTTTCAACAAAATCCATGCTACTTTATTAAAAATTCCACCTGGGCTAAAATATACGGAATAAAAGGCAAAAGGACCTTTTCAATTACCCCTCTGCCTCCATTTTAAGTGCAACTTTCCAGGACTTTTTAAGCCCCTTTTCTACTCATTCTTTTTCATGGCTGCATGGCGTTCCAGTGTGAATGTAGCAACATTTGTGCGACCATTTACGCCATTAATGGACATTGGTTGTCCACAATTTCTGTTCTTACAAATACTGCACGAACATCCCTGCATCTATAAACAGTGTTTTGTAGTTATTTAGGTACAACAAACATCTGTATGCCTACACATAGTTTATTCACACATATTACAGTTTCTGTCGTTCAGATTCCCTAGAATTGCTGCTGCAAAATATATGAAACTTTAAGTTTTGGTACTTTGTCAAATTTCCACTTAGAAAGGCTGGGCCAATTTACATTTTCACTAACACCAGGTGGGAATGCCCTTTACTTCACACGCTGCTTACGTTAGATGTCGTAAACCTCTTTTTTTTTCCCACCCAGTGGGAAAGTGATGGCGTGCACCGCTGTCTGCATATCCAAGTTCCTAACTACTAGTGATGCTGGGCATCCCTTCGTGCTTGACAGGCCTTCTGTTATTCTTCTGTGAACTGTCAACTCTGTCCATTTTTCTGGCAGTTTTTTTTTTATTATTTGTAGGAGTATTTTATTTTGGATAGTAAGCCTTTGTCATTTAGGTACACTGCAGATTATTTCTCTCAGTTTATTGTCTTTTAACTTTGAGGATATTCTGAATTAATAGTGAATGTGAGGAGATGCATCATCTTGCTTCCTCGCCAGGGCCTACGCAGGACCATGGTTTGAATGTACATTCAGGTCATCTTCCATGTCCCTTGGCAGTCTTCCATGTCCCCTCACAGAGGCCTTCCACATGCTTGTTGGAAAGTCAGGAGCCTTCCCTGGGGTCCTTCCTGCCACTTCAGTTAGGACTGACAGCCTACATGGTTTAATATCCTCTATATTTATCTTTTTATATATCTTACTGTTTCAACTAAATTGCAGCTTTCTTAAGAGCAGAAACTTTAACGGCTACAAGTTGCTGCTCTGAATTGTCTCCCCAGTGCCTCGCACATAGTGGGTGGTCAATAAATGTTTGAGAGCGATGATTACTCGAGAGACACACACTCAAAAAAAACAGAGGTGACAGCTGCTACAAAGAGGGAGCTGGAATGTCATGCAAAAGCTTTTTGAAGAACCCAATGATGATAAAAGATCAGGTGTTTCCATTTACTTCAAAAATATAAACTGTCCAATTATGAGAAATGCAGGGAAACTGGTACATTCCTGTCACATTGGGTAGGATGAAAAGTCCACAACTTACATAACAGCTAACAACAATCTGAGCAAGAGGTGGAGGAGGGAGAGGAGAGACTAGGGCAGGATGGCTGGGACTCGTGGCTCTCAGAAGGATTCCACTAGTAATTTAAGCATAATAGACACAGCGTTATGAATAACTATCAACTACAGGAAAATGTAGACAAGAAGTTCTTCATCTACAAACTCAGGCTTGTTTTCCCAAGGCTATCCAGGTCAGTGTTTAGGACAAGAAAGTGACAACTTCAGCATACTGTGGATCCAGCTGCAATGACTGTTCAGGAATATGAGAATCTCACACTTTATTTGGGCACCTCTCTGTAATGTCAATGGCAGACGTAAGAGAATGCCAATTCAAACACAGCTAAACCTAGATCAAGTCCTTTAAGGCAGCCGTCCTCAAATTAGACGGTCAGGAAAACAGAATCTCCAGCTTCCTCACTAACCTGCCTCACCCTTGACCCTAAGAGAGAAAAGACCTGTGGTCCTGCAGCTGCAAGCATGTTCGAAACAGGTGCCATATTCCAAAAATGAACCCCAATACCAGTATTTTCAACGTGAGAAACACAACCTGGATGTACACGTCTCCTATTCCAGTTATTTGAGAAACTCATATC